GGGACGTTTGAAGACTTCATAGTTATATTTATAGTTCTTATTTCGAATATCTCTTTTAGTTAGTTTGTTCTTTTATGTTTTGAGTACGTTTTTGTTATTGTGTGAGGGATGTTAATCAAATTTTTATTACACTTCCGCATTTGAGATTTTCAATACATATATTTTATTTAAATTTCCGGGACTGTTATAACTGTGATATCTTGGAGGATTTGGCCAATTAGAAAATATGGTCTATTAACATGTTAAAATAGTTTTCCATATTCTTAAAACCATGTTAAATTAAAATTGTACACTTTTTATTCTTACAAACCATATTCTTATAAAATTATTGGTTTATACTTAAATGTTGCAAGTATCAATCTCATTGAACTCACTTTTTATGTGTGCATTATTAATTTGTTAGTGTATTTATAGAGTTGTAATGAGTAAATTAAATTAAATTTTAACGAATATATTATGCTATTAAGTGAAAAAAATATTTCGTGATATTTAAATTATCTTAATTATAATAATTATAATATGTTAAAAATTTAATATGATTTTTTCTGTCATGTGAAAAAAAATGTACACACATCATGCATTGTTGGAAAACTAGTTGGTTATAATAATATAATAAATTTAAAAATATATAAATAATTATGACTAAATCGAAAATTATTTGATCTCGGTGAATAAACTCTGCCAAACTAAACTAAATATTTTAATTATTTTTATTTTTATTTTATTGTATGATATAATTGATGTAAAACAATAAATATGTTACTATGGCCCATCAAACCAAATTGATACATAACTTTTGACAATAAAAAATTTCAATCCAATATTTGACGAGAAGAAATAAGAGATAAAACAATACAAAATAGGAAAACAAATATATTCTCTATTTTTGGTGGAACAAATTTGTTGAAACAATTAGTGTAAAATATAAAATTTTAAAGTACCAAAATAACTAGCCATACATTTTTTATTTCAAGTTAGTTTTTACTATTCACATAAAAAGTTGAATTTACTATTTGTATACTAGAAAAATAGTCCAACAATATTTTGACGTAATAATATAAAATATTTTACACCCATATTAGTTAAAAATTTAATATATTATTATTTTTATTGAGAAATTTATAAAATATTCGTACCTTAATACTTACATTAAAAATATTATTAATTATAAAATGATGTTATTTTTTATGAATAATTTATCATTATAAGAATAAATTTAATAAAAGTTAATTATAAAATAAAATAATTATTTATGTGTGGATAATTTTTTAATATGAATAATTTAATATTTCTAACACATTAATATAAATACATAACATATTCTTCTATTCATTAATATTAAAATTCAATTTAAGACAGTAAAATAATATTTTAATAATTAAACAATATATTCTATATTATTTAATAATTTTTTTAAATATATTAATATACTTTTTATATACTCTTTATTTATTTATCTTATTAAATTTATAGCCAAATATTAAAATATCAAATTAAACTGACCGTATATTTATAAAAAATCAGTTTTTTTTTATAATTTAATTTTGTTTATTAAAAATAAGAAATATATATTTATACTTTTATGCCATTTAGAAATATCAGAATTCAAATTATTTTAGATTAAATGAGAATTTAATAAAATTTGAATAATTAATTCTATGGTAGCAGAAACATTATCTAATATAGTTTATACATTTTGGTCTGAATTTAATCTTTTTCAAAGAAAAATGGCAGCAATTGTAATTAAATTGTGTACAGAGGATCAAACGGGAATTATAGCTCTATAAAATGCTGAGCCCGAAAGCGTTAGAGTTTAAGGAATCGGGAAGGTTCTGCTCTGTTTTCTTCTCCTCCACAAACCCTAACCCTAATCCTCTACTTCTCTTCTATCCTCTTCGTCTTGGAGGGAAACCATGTCTCACTTTGGGAGATCAGGTCCCCCGGATATCACAGATACCTACTCTCTACTCGTTCTTAACATCACCTTCCGTAAGTGTTACCTGGCCGTATATGCACATAAACGTAGATATTTGTAGCTGCGTTTATACGTGTAATATATGAATATTGTTTCAAGGATCTTGTAATTAAGCGTTTGATTTTGGGGTTCGATTGTGTTTAGGTACGACTCCTGATGATCTCTTTCCGCTATTCGATAAATATGGCAAGGTCGTCGACATCTTCATTCCCAGAGATCGAAGGTTGATTCCCTCTTTCACTCATCGTCTCTGTTCTTCTTTTGGTTGCTAACAATTTGGAAAATAAGAGAAGCTGGACTTTTTTGATAATACCGAATTGGTTTTGAAGGTTTTATAGTTTTAGAGTCGGGCATATTTTTAAGTCCTACTAATTGAATGCTTACCAACTAAGAATACTATAGTCAGAGAAGTGATTTGAATTTTCTTGTCTTTACTGTTGTGGATTAATTAGTTTACCAGTTCCTATCGATCTAGGGTTTTTCTGTTCCTTTTATATTGCTATCTACTCTGGGATAAATTGGTATTGCGAGGAGTACCGCGTCTCTTAAGGTTTAGAGTTTCTAATCCAAACATGTGTAGACCCCTTACAGAAGTCATACGAGTTTGATACGAAGTTCATGTACCATACCCTGTAAATTGTAATTGGAGCTATGATAATCCACCGCTCTAAAGCCCTGGATATTCACGTCCTGTTGTTATCTTGAAAGATTAATGTCAATCTAGCTCATCACCTGGTTTGAGGGAGGCTGAATAACTTTGACGCTATTGATATTGCCCTTAGAGAGAAATATTTCAAAAGCAGCTACTAAAATTAAGGTCGAATCATTCAACATGGGATTCTAGTTCCACTTGCAATTAGCAACTTAACAACTCGTCTGCAAGAGGTGCTGAAGGGGCAACATGACTCCTGGCCTTCACTCCTATTAGAAGGAGCTATTATAAAAGGTTTTGACTGGTTCATAGTAGGTCCAGGTTCTGTATTAAGTTGTAAGGTGCTATTTTGTTTTTATTTGTTCCTGTTGTAGAACTGGTGATTCTCGAGGCTTTGCATTTGTTCGCTACAAGTACCAAGATGAGGCACAGAAGGCTGTTGAAAGGCTTGATGGTATGCTATTTTTGCCTCGTTTTTTCTTGCTTGCTTTGGGGTAAGTCTAAGGTTAATCTGGTTTCTTTGTTTCTTTTTTTAGGAAGAGTTGTTGATGGTCGGGAGATAACAGTTCAATTTGCTAAGTATGGTCCAAATGCAGAGAGGATGTAAGTGTTATTTGCATGCTTGTGGTATATTTATGAACTGATAATTGTGTAGTGGATCTATCCTCATCTTGCTTGTTACAAGCATTTCGTGCATTTTGGATATTTATTCCAATGGTACTGAAATTTTAAGCTCGTAATTCTTTTGATTCAGTTTACTTACACCATTTGGTTCTTTTTGAGCCATGGCAATTGTTTTTGTTTACATTTTTTATCTATGTTTTTTAATTTATTATTCAAGATTTTTGCACCAATGCTGTTCATATTTGTGGCTTAGTATTACAGATCTTTTAACCTGAACAAGCCTGATTTAATTGCTGTTTTCATGTCTATCCTTACATGTTTGTATATATTTATATTACAGCCATAAGGGAAGGATTGTTGAATCATTTCCCAGATCAAAATACAGGTCAAGAAGTCGCAGCCCTCGAAGAAGGTGAATTGTTTTCTGATCTTATTTTAAATTATTTAGGGATGATGAACTATATGATCATCATGATATAGGGTTTTATCGCATCCCATATCTTTGCCTTACATATATATGTATATATTATTTCAAAAAATATATATATTTTTTGGGGTTTTTTTTTTAAATTTAAATGGAGGATGAAGTTTTTGTTTTTCAGAAACTTCTTGATGGTTTGGATTGTGGTCCGAGGTAGGTTGTCTCATTGACATCTATTATGCGGTCAATGACATTTTTTAAACAAGATCTATATTTTGAGTGCTACTACCAAAACCTCGGAGACATGGTGCCCTCACATTCCAGGCACCGCTCCTCAGTGGCATTTTAGAATTTCTCATATTATTATTTCTGAAATTAGATTTTTATACTTCTGTTGGAGCTGTGGTGCTTGTAGGTTCAACATAGTTGGTATTACTTATTAGATTATAGTGGTTTTCATGTTGATGATTCATTGCGATAAAATTTGTTTCCCAACTTGCTTTAAAAAGCAGCTGGTAGGGATGCCGGAATGATTAAGCCACATGCATGTATAGTTTACAAATTTATATTTGCGTGTTATTATCGATTCAATTTCTTGTAAGATGCACCATGAATTGATGTTTGATATTAACAGGACTCGAGATGAAAACAGAGACAGGGATTATAGAAGGCGAAGCCGCAGTAGAAGTTTGGATAGGCATGAGCGTGACAGATATCGTGGGAAAGACAGGGATTATCGTCGACGGAGCAGGAGCCGTAGTGCCAGTCCTAATTATTCCAAAGGACGGGGTAGAGGTCGTTATGATGATGAACGGAGGAGTACTAGTAGATCTTTAAGGTCCCTCACTATAATGAACAACTTCAACTCTTTTTATGTTTTCTCTTTCTTCTGATTGTTTTATGTTTCTGATACATGTTATCATCCAGTCGTTCCCCTGCTCGAGGTAGTCCCAGCCCTAGGAGAAGTTCTTCTCCACGCAGGTCTCCACCTGCTAAGGGTGAGAGCCCTGATAGGCATAGCAATGATAGAAGATCTCCATCTCCTCGAGGAGTTTCTCCCCAGGACCGTCATGTTGATTCGCGAAGTCCATCAGTGCGAAATTCAGATGTTGATGTTAGTGATCTCTCTTGACTATGTATTATTTTTTAAAGGAGAAGTTTATTAGCTGGCCATCTGACCATACTCCTGAATTTATATCTTGTAGGAATAATTTTTGCGGGCTGCGTGGAAATGTGGAGACTATGAGTGGTTATTCCATAGGACTATGTTGCTAATGTTGAGGATATTTTATCCTCCTGCAATTTCTGATCCGAACTTTT